TTATTTTAACCCTCATCTGTGTGAGTGTAAGGCATGCAGTCTTACAAACATTTTAGATTAAATGCATGAAGAGAATGTTAATGCACGCATCTGCTGCTGTTTAATTTATTCTGTACAGTTAAGGTGCATATAGACTCTGCTGCCAGTTCCTAACAAATTCACCATTAGGGGTTCAGCTTAAGAACACAAACACATCAAATTTGACAAATTATAAAATAGCCACATTTGCTTTCCGCAGAGCCTAGCGTTGAATTACCTCTGGCGTCCAGTTCATGTTGTCTGAATCAATAATATCATATTAATCACAAAAGAGACTGACCAGTTTGTTACCACAAAGGGAACAACTGAGCTTCTTTGTTTTATAAAAATCAAAGTCTGGATAAGGACTCAGTTGTTCCAACCACAACAGTCTCTGGACCTTATTTTATACAAAAATCTGGGAAAATCTGAGTAATGGAAGAATCTCTGCCAGGCATGAAAATAACTGATCAGTGAATTATTTGCAAACCACCCAATGTCATGAAGGGAAAGGCAGATTATCTCATAAATATTCAATCATTTGATGATGATAATGTCAAGACAATGTAATTTTGTTGTGAATTTGAACTATATCACGTTGATTTTAGGTCATGGAAAAAGTTTTGTACCATTGATCCTTTGTGTATCTATAGGAGCTATTTTATCCTGTTATGTTTATAAAGTCCAATGTAGTTTTTTTTTTTTTTTTTTTTTTTGAAATAGCTGCAAGTCCTGCAGTGAGAGTCTCTGCTAGTTTTACACATTCAGAGACTGAAAGTTTTGAGCATTCTTCTTTTGCAAAAACAGCCCAAACCCAGTCAGAGTGAATGGAGAGATTTTCATGTTTTCAATTCTATTTAAATCTGACCCTTGACTGGGTCTTTTGAACACTACATGATTTCATCTAAATCAGACGTCTGCAGCCTTTACAGTCCAAAGAGACATTTTAAACCTCAGTTCTCTCTACATCAAAACTTGTTTTTATCTGCCAATGTTACCTTTTGAAAAATGATAATTTTCAAAACATATTTACTACAGGAAATTTGTTATCATTTTTTTTATAGAATCTCAATTATGTTTCTCTTTTTAGGTTTAAAAATAAACAAAAACCTAAAATCTTTGCATAAAGACAAGGAACACATTTTCCTTAATGGAACGTTGATGAAAATTTATGTAAGGAAAAAAAAAAAAAGCATGAAGCTTCCAACATAATGATGATAAAATATCTGAAAAGATAGTCCTGGTACTTTTAGTGTCATTCTGTTTCAAAAACGTAATACAAAAATTTTTTAAAACTACTAAAACTAATATTTCTTTTCATGCTTACGTTTATAAACATTAGTTGTTTTTATTTTATTTTTTATCTAAAATTAGTTCTAATAGTACCAGAATATATCAGAGACAGTGAAACTCCATTTTATTAAAAAAAACAAAAAAACAAACCAGTTATGTCCCAGTTCATAATGTCTTCCACTGCTAAGAGAGGAGAATCTTGTATCCTGTTTATATACTGTTTCTGTCTGTAGGATAGGTATTTCTTGGGTATAAATGTTTTCTTTCATGGTGTTGTTCTTTTTTCTTTTTTAGTAGTACAATATGTAATGCATTCTGCCTTGTGAATTGTGAGGTGTTGTATTTTTTGTGCTTATTTATCTTAGACCAATGAAATTATGTTATTGTGCTATTTCTTGTGTATTTATGCTGCAATGAATTGTAATGTTTATTAATGTTCACTGTCTAAATTCAATTCAATTCAATTCAATTCAATTCAATTCAATTAATTGTTCTTAGACATTGATGTGTCTTTTCTTTTCAGGGTTTCCCTTTTGTGTATCTGTTTGCTGTCTTTTGTAGGCATAATTTAAAAAAATTTGGGAGAAAAAAAAGTTTAAAAGGTGTAAATACTTTTGCAAATAACTCCAGCAATGTCACTGCAAATTCTAAGGAACTTGGACTGCCAAAATTTATCAAAGAAAGAAAATCCTCTCCATTTACAAAAATGTGGAACTGTAAAAAGAAAAACAGGAACTGATGGGAAATCAGCCTTATTTTTAGGATGAATTAAATACATAAAAAAAAAAACAAGGCAAAAAAACAAAAAACAAACCTGCAACACTGGATTAGTAAAAGACTGATGCTTCCTAAATTACTTCCCACTCTCTATTATTCACATCACTCCAAATCCAATCAAACGCCTCAGCCCTGGCTTCATTTACTGATGGGCACTGCTGCTTAACAATGTCCGTGTGGAGAATAGCGTCTTTGTGAATGTTAGAGGTGATCTCTTTGGAAAAACTACAGGAATTTCAAACACCCTAAAGATTTTAAATTCCCCATTTGCAAGCTTAAGAATTCCTACAGCCACACAATGCTGATAAAATCACATTTTGTTCATTTGACAGGGTGCAAAGCTCCCCTCGGTTGCCTCTTTGGTGGAATTTAATCCTATTTACCCTCAACATTGTATCCCTTTGTCCCTGTTTGACATTTGGAATGAGTGAATTGGTTGTTATTTTTGGTGCCACCTACTGAATTTAAGCTGTAGTACAACTGAGCAGGAGTAGGACTGTAGTGGTGCACAAGTGCTGCATGCATGCATGCACTCATACAGCGACTCTCTAGGTAGGTTAGTGGGATAGAAAGCTCTTCATCCGACCTCCTCTACACCCACAGAAAAGGGAAAGAGATCGGAGTGATATTCAGCACCTGAGAGGAAGTGGGACAAGTGTGAAGAGGGAGGTGCGCGCCTCCAGTTGGCGTCAGGCAGTGTGACTGCCACAAAGAGATCTGTTTTGACTAGATTCCCAAACCCTTAGTCCTTCAGACTTGTGACATTTAATCTTAGGAACTCATTTACTCTGTTCACTGGGCAACAACATTCCTCAGATTAACAACAAGCCTGCCCCTGCGCCGCAGCCCCGCAGAGCCACATGCACCTATCCAGCCGGACAAACTGCACCCCTGTGTGATAAATAATCTATTTATTTTTCCATTCTGAAGCAACAGAACAGGTGGCAGAACCGCAGAGGTGGGAAGAAAATTCCCAGGGATTGTTTACGGTTAAAATCCGTCAAGTTTATGGGACGCGCTTTATTAGGGGGATATTTGTTATGCAAAGATGGCAGAACTTTGTGTGTCTTCCTGACTGAAGATAAATATTTTTGCAGTGAAGAAATAATGTACATTACATAGACTCCAGTGTGACTCTAAAACAGATGGTTTCACTGAATCTGATATAAAATCAATTTGTTGTATCAGAAAACAGTTGCTTCTGATTAAATGTTTGTTTCAGAAAAATTTGCATTTTCCCATCTGAGGCTTTGGTGTTGTTATGTGTTGCAAATTTCCCAGGACTCAGCTTCATTATGAATATCACTGTTGACAATAACTATCCTCTAAGAAAAACCCGATTAGTCTAGGAAGCAAAAGGTATTCCAAATAAAGTAATCTCACTGCAACTGCATTCTTTTGGTAATATCATCACTATACTTAGAGCTTTCCTGTCTAAAATCTGAGCAGTAGCTAACCAGATTTTTATTCTACTTCACTGGAATGTTTATTTTGATCAACTAAAAATGTAACATTTAAACTCCTTTATATTTTATGCCAAATGGAATTTCCTTAAACTGTCACTGATACCATAAAACCAGTTACATAAATTAAAAAAGAAGAACTGCTGTACACAGAAGCTTTGGATAAGCTAAAAACGCTAGCAACAAAATGAAGTCTGAAAACTGTACATTGATTGTTACTGCTCAAAATTGCAGAATATTTTGATGTCAACCACAGAAAACTTGCAGAAATGTAGTTTTCTGTACATTTCTGCAGAAAACTACAAATTTCCGCAGAATGCGGCTTGTGCATTTTCTGCTGCAAAAACCTGTAAGAACCTACAAAACATGTATAGAAAAACTGTTGAAGATAAGTGAAAACTTTTGGTCAATGCAAAAGTCCCAGCTAAGCAGTATTAGAAATTAGTGCAGAACACTGCTTACAAAGCTAAACTGTAAGGTTGCAGCAGTTTATAAGCTACAGTGAGCTAAAAAAAAACTCAAGATAGCTGAAATGTTAATGATAGCTCCATTCAATATGCGATATATAAGATCTAAAATTAGCTAAATTGTTAAACTACCTAACATACTAATGGCATGTTGACCTAACATACCCCATGCACTATGAAAAACTCACGTAAAATTAGCTAAAATGGTTACGGTGGCAAGCATTAATTTTGTCAATAACATGCAGGCAAAGCTTCCAGATAAGTTAAAAATATAGGTAACTTGATCTAAATCTGACTAAATGAGGGGCCTCTGCATCCATCTGGGGCCTAATTGAGTTTTTGTGGCAACACTACAATTCAAGAATTGTTTGGTCAGGCATCTGATGTAGGTGGACACTGTTTTAAAAGTCTCACATGGTGCTATTTGTACTTCAATCTTCAAAAAGAAGTCTAGAAATTATTACTCGTTTTACTCTTGTTTTAAGTTCAATAAAAACCTGAGTGTTTTGTTAAAGTAATGCATGTTAATGTACCGTTAATCAAGGTTTTTTTTAAATGATTAATTTTGAATATTCAATGCAGGTTAAAGATATATTGTATATTTATATTAGAATAAATTTAATCAACTTCAATTGAACTGGAACCAAATAGGATTCCATGTATGCTGGAAATGGACCCGCTAATCTTAAAAAGTGTGAATTGGAGCTATACAGATAAACTGACATGTAAAGCATTGGTTTAAAACAGGACAAATGAGAAGTAATTGTTTTAAAATAGAATATAATAGATATATAATTTATTATTCCACAGTGAAGAAATTCAGGTGTCACACTAGTTAAAGGTAAAGTCACATGAAGGTAAAAAAACCCCCACATAAACATAAAGAAAAGAGAGAAGAGACTGTTCACTACTGTTCACTAAAGGTACATTTACCAAAAACATTATTTCTTCTCTATTTACTTCTTCTCTAAAAATGGTTTTGAGACATTTCATTGCTATTAAGATAGACCTTCCAATCCTAAAATTGTGTGTTTGTTTGTATTAACATGTAACTACGCTCTAGTTTGTAGACGGTGTTATTCCGGTGACAGGGGTGCTCTTGTTGTGTTGTTTCCTGCCCACCTGGCGGACAGACAGTCGGTCCGGATCCAGGCTGTGCTGGAGGAGGAGGCGGAGGAAGAGAAGGCGGACTTGTCTCTCCGTGTTTTCCCGCAGACCGCGGCCCAGCTGAGGTGACTGGCAGGACTTGTTTACTGGTGGAGAGGCTCGCAGAAAGAGAGACGGAAACGGGGAACCTGAGGGGGAGCGAGCTCCAAACGCAACGGGAATCCAAGTTTTTCCACTTGCCCCCGTATTTTTGAGTCTTTTTACTCGGATTTACCTCCTATTTTGTGGACTCTCTGACACGGGATACTCATTTAGTGTGTTTGTGCCCTTTTTAAAATTATCTCCAACTCTACCGCCGACGCCGAAACCTCGTTTGTTTTGAATTAGCCAGCTAACGTTAGCTACCCCCCCTCCATCGTTGAGAAGGGAAAAAAAAAGCATCGGAGCGGCGTGGTGGAGACTTTTCTCACTTCACAGGGCTAAACAAGGACATTTTTCTGTCTTGTTTTCCTCCACCTCAGTCTTCAAGGTTTCTGATTAAAAAGGTGACTCGTCTGCTCCGTTTCCCCCCAGTTTGGTGTTTTTTTATGGGTGTTATTCGTTTGCGGCGCGGTGGTCAGCGGGGGTGAAGGAGTTCAGAGGAAGGTCGTAGTGTTGGGGAGAGAGAGAGAGAGAGAAGGGGGAAAACTGCACGTTTTTTCTGCTGGGAGTTTCCTGGGATGTACCTCCATTGGTCTTAAAACTGGAGAAGACGAGAAGGAAGAAGCTGCAGCGGTGATCCTGAAGACTTTTAATTTCAGCTGGAAAATACTCCCTGTTATCTCAGTGGAAGATACACACGACAGTGGACCTAATTAGGGCACCTCCAAACTAAGGGATCATTTAAAAATTTCCTGTATTTATTGGAGCATCAACATCAAACAGATGAACGGGGACTGTCGCCTTCACTTATGGAAAATGATTTTCACTCGCACATGTCTTACCAGAACCCAAGATCACATAATTTAGTTGTCTCTTTACGCATATATACCAGGGCGCACATCAAAAACTTGCCTGAGGAGGAAAAATAACTTGATATTTGCTCTAATATAAACATTCCCCCCCTCCTCTGAGGATTGGAGTTTCATAAACACCATCAGAGGGAGAGAGAGCACAACTTCAATCAAAATGAGGTGGTTGACGCTGAAACTGCGAGCACAATTGGTGTTTTTCATCCTCTGTACCTGTGTTATATGCCAGTGTGGGCTAATAAACGGTGAAAGTAAGTATAATAATAATTATTATTACTAATATAATTCAAAGCTATGTCGCAGGTGTCATTGTGAATTGTTTTTTTTTTTTTGTAAACACAAATGTTTAAAACCTTGCTTTGTTTTTCAGAGAAACCTAACGGTGTGAATATTCAGAGATAAATTTAACATAACCCCTTTTAGTACCACTGAATAAATTATTTTGTTTTTCTTTTCTTGTCACGAGACCCTCGCCTACGGTTTCGCGCATGCCCAGACTCTTCGCACGTCTCTAATTGTTGCAGCTCGTTCATTTCAACTGCTGCGGCTGCGTAATAATAATTGATAATCTCCCGTTATGCTGTGGAGGATTGTTATGCGAACACCCCGCCCCCCCCTCCTCAGTCACCCCCAGCCGCCCCGGGTGTGTTTTCGGCGGCCTGAGCTCGTAGCTCCGACCCCAGGGTCGGATTAGTCGCTGCTGCTGGACCAGGGTGGTCTGCGGCAGCGAGCCCAAACTGGGAACAGCAGGATTGATTAGTAGCCCCGTGAGCAGCAGCGAGGCCTCTCATGGCGACGACGCTAGACATCGTTGGATAGGGCAGGGCATTGTGCCATACACTCAAAACGACACTCCTTTATATTTGTTTTATATAGGACCTATTATTCTTTACTTTTTAAATATGCTTAAAATGTGTATGAACTTCCCAAATTATTTATACCTCTGGCAGATTTTAGTTTTGAAATATTTTCATTCAGCTAATGATTGCTGCTGGTGATAGAACAGTGTAACAATGTTTGTTTATATGCCGTTTTATTACAAATTCTATATTGAAAGTTGTATTTATACCTTTCTCTATTTTCAGTGGAAAAAGCCAACTTTACATGTTCCCACTGGCATTTTGATTGGCTGTCCTTGGTGATAACTTCCAAGTTTTTGAGTTTGGAAAGCCTCCTTGTCATCACCCTAATCTTTAGCTCAACTATATAGCAGATTCTGTCAGATTCAAGCGGGGACACTGTCTAAATCGCTCCATAATGCCAATATTACTTCCAGTTAGAAGAATCACATTGGTAAAATGAAACTGAACTTTCATCCTTTTCAGTTTTGATACCACACATCTGTCATTCTCTGTTGCAGAGATAGACTGCAACAGGATCAACTTCAGAAAATAATGGTCAATTTGACAAGATGTTTAGTCACACAACAAAACATTTTTAAAGTTTGAAGCACTTGTGTTGTGCACATAAATCAGAACACAGGAACAGAGTTTAATTTCTATTTGCAAAATAATAAACTAATCATTAATTCACTTGCAGTGAAAAGAAAATTCATTGTTTTGCATCAGGAGTGTGCGATAATAAGTCTTATACATTTTGACCAGCTGGTTGTGTTTTCTGTCTCCGATTTCTGCAGGTTTTGTAGATTTGTAGTAACCGAGATGATGAAGCTCATGGGAGTGATGATGAAAGTCAAGGATGATAAAAATGATATTTTGGTAATGTCATCATCAACCTTTGAGCATTCCTGTCTAAAATTTTATCGGTGGCTGAAAGGATTTTTATTCTAGATCGCCGAAATGTTCATTTTGATCAACTAAAAATGAAACTGCATTTAAAGGGCCTTTGCATTTTATGCCAAATGAGCTTTCCATAGAGCCACACACATGCGGCTTTGCTGCAGCTTGAATGTAAACAAATTATCCACAGACACTAAGAAGTCTCTTCATAGGTGGTGGATTAACCCTCGCTGCTCTTTACCTCCAGATCATGGTGCAGTAAAGGCTTCTTCCTCTCTGGAGGACGTCTCTGCTGTGTGTTGTTGTTTTTATTAATGAGCCGAGGTTTTACAGAAATGATCTAACAGAGCACAAATTAAACAGCCCTCTGTTAAGCGTCAGCGACGGAGTGAGATAATAGTCCCATTTCAGATTGCTTAATGACCTTGTTTTAGAAAATTCAGGGTGAAAATTTTCAGCTGCTCAGATCTAACACAGGAATCAGAAATATGAGTTATTGCCACATGAGGAAACTAATTTTTTTTTTTCCCTTCACTTTTGTGACATAATGTATAATCACATGAAAGTGATCCCCTTCGGGTTTTTGTGTGTGTAAATTTAAAGTTAAGTTGTTCAGACTGAATTTTTGAGTGTTTGGAGATTAATAAACATTTTCATTGTTTGTCAGGGGTTTAACCTTTGCCCTACATTATGTCTCCTTGGGAGATTTGCTTTTAGTGTTGTCGGACGATGTGTTGCACAAGTCTGCAAAGTGTCTCAGAACATGAGCTCATAGCAGAGCAGTGAGCAGGCAAATCACCTTAAAGAAGCTGCTCATTATGAACCAGTTGCCTCTCCTTGTCCTTAGTGTTGCAGCGGCAGGACTTGGTTGTGTTCCAGTAGAGTGGCTCTCAGTGGTTTGAGAGGAAGTGATCTGACTACTATTCACAGGTCATGTCTGCAGACAGAATGGAGGCCAGTGAAGGGGGTGTCTCAGACACACAGCTCTTTCCTTTTTGCTGTTTTTCTTTTTTCTTCCTCCCTCCTGCTCGGCGTCTCTCAGAGAGTGGGGTATATCTCATTGGCTGTTCATGAGTACTCTGGGAAGTGCCCATATTTGGATCTCAAGATGTTTGCAGCAAACGTGGGGGTGGGGACAACAAGCAAAATACCTAAAATATTTCATTCTGAATCCACATGCAGGGCAGCGGTCATGATGTGCCGACTGCACTTCCAGAAGGCCTCATAAGAAACGCTCCTTGTCACGGCTTCTTGATGAGCGTGCACAAGCTATCGAAGTCATACTTATCAGTGAGATGTTTTCTGAAGCAACTGCTGAATTGTCTATTAGTCTAACTTCTGAAAAACAATTTTGTCAACTTGAAGTTTCCCCCCCCCCCCCCCCGCCCTCTTTTTGCTCCTTAAAGGCCTGTGAGCTCAGGTATTTCAGGAGTGCATATGCATAGGTACATGCTTTCCATACATTCTTGTCCATTATTCCTACACTGTGAATAAAATGTCTAGAGCAGCTTGTTTTATTCGAGAGAAGTGGCGCAAATCAAAAGACCCGGACTCTAAGAGCTGCCCTCCGTTTGTGTTTGTCTGTAGCCTGTTTGGATTCACAGGCACTCTTCACTGAAGTGCACATTGGCATTTTCCGACAATGCTGTGCATGTTGTGGAATGCCTTTGAAGTGGCCCACCATGTAGGTGTGTGTGTGTGTGTGTGTGTGTGTGTGTTGCTTTGCACCCTGGCCTCTGTGTGCTTTCTGCAGGATCTCATCTCTCAGCTTCTGACTGTCGCATTTCTGCACAGTGCAAGTTTTGTGTGTATCCAGATGAGGGGGCCATGCATGAGAACAATGTGTATAAGGCATTTGAGTTCAAGAGTGGGCACCCCAAGTGGGCCCCATGGAACCCACCATAGATCCAGTTCATCAGACAGAGAAATAGTTTTAGAAGAGGACGACGGTGGTAACTGAGGTGAAGGATGTCACGATGCGAAGCAAAGCTGCTTGTACTCCGCTAAACCCATTGATTTATTTAAGAGCATCTCAAAAAGGATTGGTGATAACTCTCTGAAAGCCACGAACCAGATAGATCTTAGGACAAAGATGTGATATTTACAGTCTGCCTATGAATTAAGTGTTTTTTTATGGGACAAAGTGAAATTCTGTCATAAGCTGCAGCCAGGTGAATGAATTGACCTAGAATTATATCTACAATAATATTTGTAGATCTGTCTCAATAACCAATTTTGGTTGACGATTAATTGTCCCAGTGGTTATTGCGATAAAAAATAATATTGTTGTTTTGAGACTATTTTCAAGAATTATGTTGATGATAGTATAATAATGCAAATTTGCCCTCTCAAAGACCAATAAAGTTTGATTTAGCAAAGAAGACTGAAATATATTTTATACATCCAAAATAAAACACAACCAACAACCAAACACACACACACAACCAAATCCGTAAATAAAATGGATCATGAGTTTTCTGTAAATTGCCCTTCAAAATGATTGACCATCAGAATGGAAATGATCAAGCTCGTTTTAATTTATCATTTAATTAATTGATTAATTGCTTATTGTGACAACCTTAAATGTTGTCACAACATTTAAGGTTGTGACAACATTTAAGTGGGACGAGCTCATCCCACTTCCAACATGGGGAAGTGGGATGAGCTCGACTTTTCTCGACAATCTCAGTATTTTCTTTTCCTCTATCATTGAAATGATGATAGAGACACGATGGTTTACTCAAAGTATTACCTGATGATGACCCTGAGGCTTCATAAATGAGGCTCCATATTGGGATAGACGCCTCCTCCTTTGCCATATTGTTTGATAAGTCAAACGCTGAAGCTTCTCCACTTTGACACAAGATGTCAGAGAAATGCATTTCCACCAGCTTTATCTGCTGGATATACAGTCTGAGTTAAACATTACACATCATATCTTCTACTGTAAGACTGGGAAGGTTGTTCAACTCCAGTTAAATGAGCTACAGAGGCTTATCTTAGAACTTCTCCTGTTCACTGAATGATAAGCGAAATGTAAGAATTTTAAATAACAGTCAAGCAGCTTCTGCAAAAGCACAAGCGGTCGGTGACGGTGATGTTTTTGGATGTAAAGCGTGAAATGTAGCCATCGTTGTTCTCCGGCCTGGAACACAGTCCTGCGACGGACTGAAATAGATTCGCAGTGATGGTTATTTCTCTTTCCTGTGATGCCGTCTCCTTCGACTCTCATTCTTCGATAGAGGAGTGAGACTGTTTATCTAAAACTCTGCTCACTGCACAGAAATGTGCTGGAGTGAGGAGGGGGATGGATGGGGAGTGGGAGACACAAAGAAACACAGACTGTGCTGTTACGCCATGCTGCAACAATCTGATTTAACAGTTTGCGTCTGGCTTATTTAAACCAGGCATCAGTTTTGTTTTGTGCAGTTTTGCTCTTGATAATGTAGGTAAAAGTCATAGAGTAAAACAAATGTTTCTTTGGAGATTTCAAAAGATTCATGTAGAAAGGG